GTCTTCTTTCATTGCTTCTATTTGACTTTTGATGATGTTTTTCTGTGCATTAAATTCCTTTATTTCTTTCTCTTTCTTTTCTCCTTCTTGTTCCAACTCTTCTTTCCGTCGTTTTCTTTCCTTCACTTCCTCTTTTATTTCTTTAATTTCTTTTTCCATCATTTGATTTCTTGTTGAAATCTTTTCATTCTCTTTTTTTATTTTCTCATACATTGTCTTAGTTTCTCTTATTTTCTCAATAAGATATTCCTCTGTGTTTGTCAGTATTTTAATTCTTTCCATCCTTTCTTTTTCTTGTTCTTCATTTTCTCTCTTCATTCTTTCTATCATTTCATTTTCTTGGTAAATCTTTTTCTTTACTTCATGTTGTGCTTGTAAAATAAATTGTTCCATTTCTTCTTCACTGTTAGTTTCAAGCACCTTGAGTATTTCTTCTACCTTTTTCATTAATTCTTCATTGTCTCTTTCAGTTTTATGTTTCCTCTCTTCATCTTCTGTGTATTGTTTTTCCATCCTTTCAATCTCATCGTCTAATTGTTTACTTTCATTCCTTAGTTTTTGTATTTCTTTTTCTTTTACTGCTATGACGCTGTCTTCCATTTCTATTTCGACTTTTCAGATTTTCTTTATTCCAAAAAATCTCTTATTCTTAGTATAACTAACTCTTGTTTTTATTCGTGTGACAATTCTTTGTCTTCTTTCTTCTTCTCATGAACTTTAATTCCCTTCCTTTGTTTTTGTGATGCACATTTCTTTATTATGTTCAGTTCCATTCCATCTCTTGTTCAAACTTATTCAATGACTATTCACAACTTTGTTATGAGTCAACCTGTTCCAAAATCTCTTATAAAACAATATATACTTTTGAAAATAAACTCAACCATAGTGTAGTCAGAATAACGCAGAGACACACTCGTGATATTAACAACTCCTAGCCATAACAGAATAAAATACCATTCCTTACGCATAACCTCTGTTTAGTTTTTTTTTCTTTAATGAGGGTCATTTAGAATCAAATTGTGATATGATATAATACCAAGACTAAATAAAACTTACAGATTTCACACTCATTATTTACAATACTAATATTTATTAATTCAGTTATACATAGTCAGTCTTTATTTCATATTTTATTAATATGACAAACTAAGTTGATATGATAAGAAAAAACTACAATATTCTTTTACCAATTTATGAGTGAATTATGGGAGAGTTTTAGTGATTTTATTTTGATTAAAAAAAATCAATTAATAGATATATCCACAATTGGATTTTATGATTATTGAGAAGTGTTTATTTCAGTTTCTTCAATATGCTTTATTTGTGTAATAGAGTTCATTTCTAGCATGCTCGCATTAGATTGTTCTTCTTCTATTGTGCTGCCAGAATTGAATGTGTAAAACATTAAGTCTTTCATATTTTTTATAATTATTGTTCGTAGGATTTTGGAAAAGTCTAATTGTAATTTCAGTGATTGTAATCTTCTTACTGATTCTTAATGTATTAATCCATTTATTGATAATATAACAGGTATTATTTCTACATATATTATTTATCTATTATTTCTTAATTTCTCTTGTAATTCTTTGTATTTATTTATTTTGTGAATATAATTTAATTCTAAATTATTATCCTGACATATAGCAACATCTATAATATATCCTTTATTTTCTGTATTATTTTGATAATATATATCTGGTCTTCTAGCATGGAAAGAATGATCACTAACCAATAAATATTTTTTGTAAGTTATTACTATTTCATCATTATTAATATATTTTGGATGATTATTAAAGTCAATTGAATCAAATTCATTAAAATATGTAATTAATATGTTTATATATTTGCTTACAAACATAGTCATGTTTTGATATTTGATTCTTTTTCATTACAGGACATCCTAACAATATATGATTAATAGATGCAATAGTGTTATGACAATGTTTACAATATTTTAAAGCATCATTTTGGAGTATTTTTTGCTTTAATATTTCCTGTCATAGTTACTCCTTCTTGCATCTTTACTATTTGGAGGAATGCATTTCTTTTTATATTCAATGACCTCCAAGTGGCTACTGTTAATTTTTTATCATTGAAAGTGCCATTTGCACATCTTATATATTCACCACATTTCTTTTCTTTCAATTCTTTTAAATATCTATCATTTAATTCATTATTTACCCATTCAAATATTTCCTTTACATTGTGCTTTCTTTCATTTAATTCTATTATATTCATTAATTCATTAAAATTAATCTTCTTACAAAATGCTTTCTTCATTCTTTTAATTATTCCATTTGGATTTTCTTTTATTGTTTCTATCATTTTTCATATTCCTGTATTTGATATTTTTATTTTAAATATATTCTTAATAATTCTTTAGCACATTCATCTCTTGCTGACATTATTCCTATTCCCAATTCATTTATTTTAACATATAATCTACTTTTTGGGATATTTCTACTATATAATTGGAGTTGTATTAATGAATTTCTTATTTGTTTATCTATATTCTCTAACTCTCCTAGTTTCCATGGGACAATACTAAATCCATATCTTAATTTGGAGATTATATCATTATTAATATTTCTTATTGTATTGAGGCTGCTGTATTTCATAGTATTTAATGATGATAAAATAGAAGATACATCATTTAATATTCTTGTACAATATTTATTAATATTTACTTTATCTCCTATTTCAATACCAAGATATTTATAATAATTATCATTAGTTACTCTTGGTAATTCAGCTAATTCACCATTTATTTGACTATTAATATTAGTCATTATCAAACTCTTTTCTACATTATTTTTTAATCCTATTGCATTAAATATTTCTTTAGTTAATTTGTGGGCTTTTTCCATTTCATCGAGGCTATTAGTCATTATCTTTAAATCGTCCATATACAATATGTGGTTTAACTTGACTTGTTTTTCTTCTCCATTCATTTTAATATTTAATTTGCTTATTTGTTTATCTAATTGTTTAGATAGTATATCAATAGATAATACAAATAAAAGTGGAGATAAATTATCACCTTGTATTATTCATCTTTCTACATTAACTATACCTACACTTTCATGATTGTAATATAAATTAAGATGTGTATTATTTAATATATATAATATACTATTAACTACTGTTAGTGGGATATTAAAATAAATTAAACATTGTTTAATTCATTGTTTATTAATACTATCATATGCTTTGGAGATGTCATAATATGTTTCTACCCACTTCCATTTATTATTTATTAATAATTGATTGATTATAGTGTTATATAATAATCATTCATTTGATGAATATGTATATTTCTTACATCTAATTTGATTTAATGATAATTGTTTTTCAATTTGATTTAGCATCAATTGGCTTTCTATTTTCATCTTTAATAATGATGTATATACTTTTAACAGACAATTTAGGCAAGTTATTGGTCTGTAATTCTGTGTGTCTAATTTATCTCCTTTTTTATATATTAATATTGTTCTTCCTTGAATAAAATGAAGAGGTATTTCATTAGGATTGTTCAACCATTCATTAAATAATTTTATTAAATATTTCATTGGTTATTTTAATTATTTAATCAAAAATCATTATATTTTATCAACATCGCGTGCCTTC